CCTTAAAAAGTGGAGAGGAAGAAGAAATAGGAAGCTCCTCAATAGCCTCTAGCTCTACCTAGCCTAGGCCTTCAGTTCAACAATCTTTCTTGATTTAGTGATTTTCTTTTTGAATCTCCTTAAATAGTTCTTCCAAAAATAGGCTTCACTTTAGTGGTATCAATAGAGGATTTCAATTTCCCTACCTCCCTGGTAGAAGATGTAGCGGGTACGGATGAGATAAAAACCTCCTTCTTAGAGGAAGGGCGTTAGTCCCCGACCCAACAACGATCTCTACCAGGTGGACATCCTTTTTCACCAAAGCAACAAAGTTAATAATTATTCGTCCATTGATTGATAGCTTCAGAATCTTAAAGCCCTTTCCAAACTGAGCGGTGCTATCACATACTAGTTCTTCAATATACATGTCTTGATCCAAGGAGAAAATGAGCTTTTTGGACATTCTTAATGTTTCAAGTATTCTTGCAATTTCTTACACACACACATATATATTTCTTACTAGTTATTTTTTATATATATAACTAGTAGGACATTCTTAATGTTTCAAGTATTCTTGCAATTTCTTACACACACACATATATATTTCTTACTAGTTATTATATATATATATATATAACTAGTAGGACATTCTTAAAGTTTCAAGTATTCTTACAATTTCTTACAACAACAACAACATCAAGCCTTTATCCCACTACGTGGGGTCGGCTACATGAATCCTTTTTTTCCATTGTGTCCTATTAAAAGTCAAATTTTCGTTTAAATCTAATAAAGAAAGGTCATTCCTAAGATTTTCTAACCAAGTCTTTTTAGGTCTACCCCTACCTTTCTTAACAAAAGTCAAATCTAATACCTCTACTCTCCTAACTGGGTCATCAGAAGGCCGCCGTTTTATGTGACCAAACCATCTAAGGCGATTCTCTCTAATCTTATCTTCTACTGGAGCTACTCCAACCATTTCACGTATATGCTCATTTCGTATTCTATCTCTAAGGGTAAAACCACTCATCCACCTGAGCATCCTCATCTCTGCCACACTTAACTTAGTATTATGCTTCTCTTTTAATGGCCAACATTCGGCACCATAAAGCATTGCAGACCTCACTACCATCTTATAGAATTTTCCCTTAAGTTTGAGGGGTACATTTCTATCACATAACAAGCCCGATGCATTCCTCCACTTCAACCATCCAACTTGAATTATGCTGATAATATCCCCATCTATTTCACCATCACTCTGAACAATAGATCCAAGATATCTAAAACGCGTGCTCTTATTAATGACTTGATTGCCCAAAGTCACAATCCCCTCACCAGGTCTATTACTACTAAAATTATACTCCATATATTCCGTTTTAGATCTACTCAAGTGAAAACCTTTAGACTCTAAGGTTGACCTCCATAATTCAAGTATACCACCACCCTCTAAAATATATCATCCTTCAAGTTATAGGCATTTTTATGGGATCCCATGGAGCTTCTCTTCCAGTTGTTGGTTCATTCACAACATGTTGGGCTTCTTAATGTATTTTATTTTATTTTTTATATTTCCATCTTGCAATGCTTTTTATTTTCTTCGTGCTGTACTCTTTTCAATGATTGATAATAATTTTTGTATTTTCTTTTTTTTTTTAAAAAAGAAACTGTTAAGAAAATATTCAGATTTTGGGTGCTTCATGTTGTGCTGATCATACAGCATGCAAGATTGGTTTCCATCCATGTCTTTGTTCTATCAGCATAGGTTGCATGCATTAATCATGACAATGCGCTACAAAGTTGTTTTGAACATTCAGTTTAATTTAAATATTCTAATACTTGTGAAGAACATTCAGCGATTCTATTTTTCTGTCAAATGGAAAGTCTTGGGGAAATATCAGGGGATAACTACTAGGGGATGTTGAGCAGTTGATTTAAGAGTGATTTTACCAATTCTTGATGATAATTGTTGTTAGAATTTTTATTTTTATTCTTTGAAGTTTCTTGGATGAGTGGCTTTACTCTTAGAGATAGGATACGAAATGAGCATATTCATGAAAAGGTTGGTGTAGCTCCATTGGAAGATAATATTAGAGGGAGTCTCCTTAGATGGTTTGGTCACATAAAATGGCGGCCTTCCAATGGCCCGGTTAGGAAAATATAGGTATTAAATTTGACTTATATTAAGAAAGGTAGAGTTAGACCTAAAAAACTTGGTTAAAGAGTATTAAAAATGATATTTCCTTATTAGATTTAAATGAGAATTTGACTTTTAACATGACACAATGGAGAAAAATGATTCATTGAGCCGACGTGGGACAAAGGCTTGATGTTGTTGTTGTATTTTTTTACGTTTCTCATTAACATTAATTTTGATGATTTATAATTACTGTAGTTTCTTACAGATAAACCACCGATAGAGGAACTTCATCAATTTTTGGAGTTTCAATTGCCAAGACAGTGGGCACCTGTTTTCAGTGATCTTCCCCTTGGTCCTCAACGGAAGCAACAAAGTAGCTCATCGCTGCAGTTTAAATTCATGGGTCCAAAGCTTTATGTCAATACTAGCGTGGTAATTATTAGTTTGATCTCCGCATAATAACTCTAATATACAATTCTTATTTTATCAGCCTGCAGCATAATAATTTTATCTGCTATTCCACTTAAGTTTTTAAGCACCCCAACAAGTTTCTCAATTAAATCAATGCATGTACAATATTACTTTGCATGTGGCAATTAAACATTTAGTCTCATGAATTATTTTACTTGAACCAATCAGATTTTGACTTATTTTAAAGTTATGTCCTTTATTGGAATATCGCTTATTTTCTTCAGAAGTAAACTTAAGCTTGTTATAAATTAGTGACGTTAAAAAGTCTAATCGCCAGTGTTAATAAAAGTTAAATGCTAATAATTTATCTTGTTGGTGCAGCATGGGCATTTACATGATGGCAGTGATTTAATTCAAAATATTGATTTTGCGAGTATTAGTAATCATTTTTTTAGATGATCATAGCCATTTTCCTACATTCTTGCATGCCCGTGCAATTGTGCAGTTTAAACCACTTGTATTAACAAAATGCTGAAAAATGATACTCTTTCAACTTATGGGAGAATGACTTGAACGTCACCTAGACCATCAATATTCACAAATCTACCATCCAATCTAAGGCCTTCTCCAACTGAACTCCAAACGCATGAATGGCGTCGCTCGCGAGCTCAAGCCGAATGGCAAAACTTCCGGTATTTGATTGCGGTTGAACAGTGCGACGTTAATATTGGCGTTGCACTGTTCACCTGTGTTATTTTTCTGTCTCTACCGGATTTGCCAAAGAAACGTGTGAAGGAGAAAGACGGTTACCTGGGCGCAAAATGGAGTTCGATTGGAGATGAATCACACAATTTTTTTGTTACACTGCATTTTAGAGTGAAAGATGAGATTTTCGGCAGGAGATGCCCTAAAAAAATGAATAATCAAACTCATACATTTTTCACATCTTTGGTTTTGTTGTCAATTTTGGTATATGGGTGGGAATTTTATGAATGGAGGTAGGTGGCTTTAGTTTTATAAATAGAAAATATTTATTTGATGTGTGAAATTACTCTAACTTATTCTCTCATTATAATTTGTATGCATTCCCTAATACAGGTTGATGTAGGAAAGAGGCCAATAACAGGCCTTAGACTCTACCTTGAAGGAAAAAGAAGCAACAGGTTGGCCATTCACCTTCAGCACCTCTCCTCTCTTCCTCGAATCTTCCATATTCAGGACAACCCCAGTAGCACATACTATCACGAATCAAATGAACGCAAGTTCTACGAACCTCTTCAGCAGCGACATTTCTCCCATGTTTGTACCGCGCCTATCGAAGCAGATGACGATAACTCCATTGTCACCGGAGCTCAACTACATGTCGGCAGCTATGGCTTCAAGAAGGTACTCTTCCTTCGCCTGCAATTCTCATCAGTATCAAATGTGTCCCTGCTCAGGAGTCCAGAATGGGAAGGATCACCTGGTTTGACTCACAAATCTGGCCTTATATCCACATTGATAAGCACACACTTCACTACAGCGATTCAGAAGCCGCCGCCCCGCCCCGCCGACGTGAACATAAACTCCGCGGTGTATCCTGGCGGTCCTCCGGTTCCCGTTCAGGCTCCGAAATTGCTTAGATATATTGATACAACTGAGATGGTGCGAGGACCCCAAGATACTCCAGGTTATTGGGTAGTTTCAGGGGCGAAGTTGAATGTGGAGAGGGGTAAAATCTCTCTTCGTGTTAAGTACTCGCTCTTGACGGCATTGTTGCCGGATGATGAACTGTAGATACAAGTGCTATAAAATAGGAAAATTATTAGGTCCCAACACCTGCCTACAGTCAAAGCGCAGGTACTATAACAGTTGTGCTTTGACTACGTTTTTACTGTATACAGAAAGAAATTCAGATGATTCTCTCTGTCAGGTATCCGGACCTAATAATTTGCCTGTAAAATGAGGATGGATTCTTGCAATTTATTTGGGCAAATTGGAATGGAAGAATACTGTGGAGTAGGCCATTAATTTGGTGGTTGTTTGTTGATGGATGGACTGAAGGTTGGATGTATGTATTATAGTTTTTATTGTTTTTTTAATTTGTATTTTTGTAGTACATCTTAAAGTGCTAGTGATGCCATAGTTATCATTTTTTATTGTTTTGGAAATATTCTTCTGCCTGCAGAATGCTTAATCTGTGTTTGTTTGTCTTTGTTGATTTTGATTTTCCTGTTCTAATCTATCTTTTATTTGCATAGAATCAAATATTTTTATATAGACAGAGGTGGGATGGTATGCCAAAGGATGCTTATGCTTAAAATTTGTTTAAGAGTTCATTTAGGGCTGAAAAAGCTCTTCATTAGTATCACAATCATATATGAAGTTGAAGTAAAACTCAATTATCTCAATAATATTGTAATCCTAATTAAGCCTATTTTTTTGTTAAAGTGTGTGATATAATTTGCATAGTTTAGTAAATTTAAAAGTAAATTTGAAGAAAATTTAGATTACTTCATAAAGATTTTATGATTTAGTAGAAATACAAGATCAAGTGAAACAAAATTGGATCAATTAGTTCATCATAGCATTACATCCTATCAATCTTTAAAGCACTTATTGTGAAATTTATTTTAACAACAAAATATGATCATCAAAACCTAGGTGATTCATACAAGGCATTTTAATGATTTAATAATAAAAATTTATTTTATAATATCATCTAATGACTTGCTAAGTATTTTCTTTTATGTTAATCTTTTTTATGAATTCAACAAGATGAAGGATGAAAGTTGTCATTCCAATGTTATTTTTGTCTACTTGTGTGTTGTAATCAGATTAAATGTGAATTTAGTGATTAGATTTTTCATAGGTCTTAAGGATAATGAATGTAAGAATAAAATTGATTAGATTTAATCAAAATATATTTAGAACTTATAGAAGTTATCATTTTTTTTTTTTTTTGTCAATTTTTATTTGGCTTAGTTTTTTATAGATTTTTGATTTATTTCATAGTTATTTATACATAAAAAAATATTTTAGATTTTAGTTGGTTGGTTATATATGCTTAATTTGTTCATTATAAAGATCTTGATCATTTATATTTGTTAGCAAAATTTTTTAATCAGAAATTTAATTATATTTATTCAATGTATTTATTTATGTTAATTATATATTTAATATATTTGATTAAGAAAAGTAACCATAATGATTATTTTATGTTTATTTACTAAATAGATATTTTTTGTGTTGATAAATTTGTTGACTCCATTAGTCTATGTATAGGGTTAAAATTAACATTGTAGGTACACTAGAAGAGAAAATTAAAATGCTAGGTACACTCTAAGAAAAACATATAAGATTTGAATGAAGCTCATAGCCTAATTTGGCAAAACTAGGTCATGATCAAAGCAATTAAAAGCTCTACAAGTAAAGAAAATTAAGATAGTCAATGACAATCAAAGTAGCTTCAAGTATCAAAGATATAGTTTTAATTCTTTAGTTTCATTTGTATGTAATTTCAAATTTAGAGGCTACAAGATATAAATTAGTACACATATGAGAGGTTTAAATAAAAAATTAAATTTAACAATGAATTGATTCAAATTAATTTCAATAAATAATATTGTATGAGATAGCATAATTTAAAATTCAAGATAAAATCAAATTACAATAATTAAGTATTTTAAATGGCTAAACTCAAAATTGAACTAATCATACTATATGAAGTTAATCTTAGTGTACAATCAACATTATTTGAAATGGCTAAACAACTTATTAAACTTCATTAATTAAAAATTAAATAAATATAAAGTAAATTTATATAATAATAAATTTATTTCATTTGCTCATAAAATAAAAAATATATATTTAAGCTTCTTAAATATGCTAAACATGGTTGAAAAAAAATTGTCGTATGATATTCTAGATTGCTAGCTTGATGCTAAAAAAATAATTCTTTTATAAAAATAAATAAATATCATTAAAATTTATAATAAAATATAACAAAAAAGGTACTAGGTAACTATTAAGTAATTAAAAAAGTTAAGAAATATATTTTACAACTAAAGAAAAGAAATGGGTCCTTTTTAAGTAAATCATGATATCTTTTTAAAGTTTAAATTATTATTATTTATCAAGTTGAGCATATTGCAAGGGACATGTCAATGAAAGTTTTAGTGTGAGGAATATGGAATCTTTGCTTTTAAACTTTGAATAATAGCACTGCTGATAAGTCTTGCTTCTTTAATGTTTTGTGGCATTAAATAAATGGAACCTTTTTAGAAAGAGAATAAGATGGGTGTAAAGGTTGTGTAATATTAAGATTTTTATATATAATTGATATGTTCTCAAATATTTATCTTGATCGGGCACGAATCTCGAGGCAAAAAGCTAGTTGGAAACTTCAAAAATTAAATCCGGAAGCACCAAAACTCCGATTTCAGCGAACCTATAGTCAAACTGAGCGTCTCGGAAATACAAACCCAACGACACTAAGTTCAACCCAATCCGAGCCCAAATGAGTCTGAATCAAGGACCCGAAGCGCTGTTGGAAGGTTCAAACCGCAATTTAAGTTGCCAAACGATCTCCAATTTTAACGAGCTTATACTCAAATCGAGCGGCTCGACGAGACAAATCCAACGAGCTCAAGATCGCTTAATTACAACATCATTAAGGTCTCCAAATGTCCAACGAACGGTGCACGATCGAAGGGTTCAATATCAGCCGTCCATTCAAACCACTCCCTATTCGCCCGTGATCTCGCACCTATTTACAAGCCACGCCACTCCAAAAAATCTATAAATAGAGCCCTCATTCTTCACAAAGGGAACTCAAGTGAAGAGAGAGAAGAAGAAGAGAAGAAGAAGGAAAAGGGGAAAAGGCAAATCCTCTCCTTCTCGACCACCGCCAGAGCTCTTCCTGCTGCCTGAATACGCCGGAACTTTGCCGAATTTTCGAGAAACGATGGGATTCTGCAAAACTTTGTAAATTTGCTTCAAGTTGTAATCTGTTCGTCCCGATTTGTGGGACGAATCAGTTTCTTGTAATTTACAAAAGTACTAGTGGAATTTTACAACTGGACGAGGCCCCGTGGTTTTTTCCCTTTTTGGGTTTTCCACGTATAAATCTCGGTGTTCTTTCGTTTTCCTGTTTGTGTGTTAAATTTATGTGCAATGCTCGGACACGAATTTACAAACTCTACTGCCGTGTATTTTCTAGCACGCAACAATTTGGCGCCGTCTGTGGAAAACACTATCCCACTACTTCAAGTATTGCTACGATGGTTTACAGGCGCAGCAGTCGTTAGTTTGAGCTTCTCGCTCCAACTCTCGTCAATCTAGAAATCCGTCTATTAACCATAGACGATCGATGTCAGCATCTTTTCATCCTGGGGGGTAGAATGCTGCCGGAGAAGGGACCTCGGGACCTTCTTTGGAAGAAAGAATACAGAAGATGGAAGAATCTCAGAACGAGATCCTTCAACTCCTGCAAGAGAATCGGCAGCCGGCATTGACACAACAAGAGGAAATTTTTCTCCCTCAGAATCCACCACGGGTTGAAGATGTCCAATTTGAGCATCTTCAAGCAGAAGTTTATCTCCCTCCACCTAGAAGATTTCCCTAGCCTCGATAGGATACTAAACTTGTCGATACTGCAAGTTCTACACATCCTCCACCCTCAATTCGGCAGCCTCGCATTCTCCCAAATCTCCCAGAAGACTCTGCTTAACCACACGTTGCGGAGCTCCCTCAGGATGCCCTACGTCACGAACTACGAAGGTTGGTAAGGGAAGAATTCCCCCAAGGGGATGCGAGACAAACCTTTCGTCAGAGATACTTCCAGGAGTCATCACCTCTAGCTGAGGCTATACTACAGCACCCCATTCCGGCTAGATTTAAACTACCCAGCATCGAGTCTTACGATGGAAAGTCAGACCCGTACGAGTATATCGACCACTACATAACCATTATGCACATTCAGCGAGCCTCAGACGCTCTCCACTGCCAAGTCTTTCCTGCCACCCTCAAAGGACAGGCTCGCACGTGGTTCTACTCGCTTCAGTCGGGAACGGTCCCTTCATTTATAAAATTGGCAAAAACTTTTGTCGAGCAATTCGTAGTCCACCAAAGAATTGCTAAGGATTCTTCTCATCTCTCTAGAATCTGCCAAAACGAAGGAGAATCTTTAAAGGAGTATTTTCAGCGATTCTCCACTGAAGCTCGACAAATCCCAGGAGTTGATCATAAACTGTTGAGAGGATTCTTCCTTGGAGGCCTACGCCCTGGCCCCTTATATTCGGCACTTATGTGCGACACTGTTCCTTCATATGCCGATTTAATTCACCGGGTATAAGCTCAAATCTCGGCAGATGAGGCTATAAACGCCCATAGGAAACAGTTTGAACAATCTACTAAAAAGCGCAAGGGAGCACCAGGGGCAGATAATTCTTCCTCGCAACGAAAGAAGCAAGGGAAGAACAATCTACCTCTGAGGCCTCCATTGCCACGACGAGAACCTCGTCAGGAGAAAGAGTACACTCTTCTCAATACGTCTCGAGCAAATGTGTTAATGGCTGTTCGATATCAAGATACGGTAAAGTGGCCACTTCCCTTGAAGCTGAACACAGGAAATCAGGACCAATACTGCCATTTCCATCGTAGTCGAGGCCACACTACAGAAGCTTGTAGACAACTGAAGGAGGAAATTGAAAGGCTTATCCGTCAAGGCTATCTTCGACAGTTTATTCGGGATTCACCTACCTGAGAGGAAACCCGTCCCACTGGGGGGAAAGATCGACAACAAAGGCCACCAGTAAATAATCGAATAGCAGTTGGGGAAATTGAGACAATAGACAGAGGCCCTTTGTTATCCTATAAAATCTTTTTGGCTGTGGACGAAATTCCAACTCCAAAGAAAGCTCATGTAGATCACACCATCACCTTTTATGATTCTGACTTGGAGGGAGTAAAAACCCCTCACTAAGATTCTCTTGTTATCAGTGCAGGCATAGGTGACCCATGCTATAATGTTAAAAGAATTCTTGTGGATAACGGTAGCTCTGTAGATATCTTGTTCTACTCTACCTTCCTTAATTTGGGTCTCGCCAAAGAGAAGCTCCAACCTGTGGCTGGTTCTTTATATGGATTTGATAACTG